GTCAGCATCCCGATTCGAAGTTCATGTGTCATTCGTCCACCCCAGCATCATTTGCATCATCAACACCATCCGCTAATGCATTCCGCCAACATCTGCATCATTCATTGCATCCTGCGTCCAGGTAAGTTTTCTTTTGTTTACCTTTCTCCATACATTCATGCATTTTTCTCATCCAAACTCGATTTATTTCACACTGAGGACAGTGTGATTTAAGTCTGGGGGAGGATTTCATCCCTTTCCAACCACCTTTCTTTCATGAGTCTTGCATTATCTACTATTTTCGTGTTTTCTTTAAAAGTTTTTCATAAACAGTTTTCAAAACAAAATACGTTGTAAAGGGAATGATGAACATAAAAATCGATGATAATTGACTGTGTGCTTTTAGACTATTCCCTATTGACATGCTCATTCATGATTTAGGACCAGACTAGATGGTAGCTAAGCACATTTGAAAAAAAAATCCCCCCAGAGGAATTTGAATGGTTTTGATTTAGATGAATAAATACACAAGCTCTGTTTTATCTGGACTTAACATTGACTTAACTTTCTCACTGAAGCATTAGATCAGGGAAATGAATCATACATTCAGGACTCCTTTATCCTTTTTACCACTTTTTGTTGATCTTGAATGGCTAGTTCATCTTTAGCTAGTTCTCCACCGTAACCCAACCTCTTTCAAACCACATGCATTCTTGTTTTTCATTGTCCTATATGCAGACATGTGCAAAAACTTCGAAGAGAAAGAGGAATAACACAATTTTCAGTCACTAAAGACCAAGACCTGCGATTTGACCAGAATTATTCAACAAGGGAGAAAGCTCAATTTGCCTCGGAAAAACTTCAAAACTTTGGTATATTTTTGTCCCTTAGACTCTCTCTTTTAATAAAAGGTGTTTTCCCTTTCAATATAAAAGAATAACGAAAAAAAAGAAGAAGAAGAAAAGAAAAGGAAAATAAGAAATGAAAGGAAATAAAAACCTCAAGGAGTCTAGGAGGATCAAATTTTATCTTTGAGGCAAGTTGTGGTTCGATTATTTTCAGTTTTGGAGATTATCTTTCTGATTCCCATAAAAGATTTAAGTCTAGGGGAAGTAGCTGTTTACAACAAAAGAAGAAGGATTATGCAACAACACTGGACAGGGAGAAGTGACTGAAAATTATGGACATCAACAAGTCCTTTTCTCTCTTGCGGTTTTGCATAATGTCTAGCATCCTCCAGATCTTCAGGTAACCCGAAACATTTTAACTCCACCACTTAAAAAGCCTTTAATACCAAACGCCATCTACCCTGAATGATGTCTTTGATTAGAATTCACTATACACTTAATGAATGTAGATAGCTAGTTCACTGGAATAGATATTTAGACTGTTAAGATTTTGCAAGACAGAAAAAGTGGACTAGTATCTTTTGTGTCTTGGTGATAATTTTCTAGACTAAGTTGCGATTGTTGCGATTGTTGTACGATCGTTGGTCGTAGGTTAGAGGTTCATGTCTCTGAGATTTATGCATTCCCAATTTTTGTTTTACTTCACCTAATTTGTTTTTTGCTTTGTTTGAGGAAAAACAAAGGTTTAAGTCTGGAGGAGTTGATAACACCGTATTTTGACCATTTTTATGGATCGTTTTTAAATACTTTTTCAATGGTTTTTATTTTTTATTAGTATTTTTATTATAGTTTTCTAGTATTTATAGTTTCATGAGTCTTTTCAGGAAACTTAGGAAAAAGCTTAGCAAAATGGATAGAACACCAGATTTTCAGCTCAGAGTCAAACCGTCAGAAGTTCACCCTCAAATGAAGACTTTCTTACCATCTGATCCAGCTCAAATTTGGTAATCTTAAAGATGGAGGAGCTAGCTTTCCAGCACACTTGACAGCTGGAAAATCCAACGGTTCAGTCAAAATTTACGCAAAGAGTAAGATGTCTCGTCAACCAGCAGGCCAGCATTACTGACCGCGGCCAGCAAGTATTTTCCACCGGTCGCATACCCTCTGACCGCGGAGAATACTCTGCTCGACCAATGAGCCCATTTCAAAACCCAAATCGATGTCTTCATTTGGAGAAACTCTAAGTGACGTCCAGAAATGAGTTGAGGACTATAAATACATGTTTTATGAACCCTAGGCTGTATGCTTATCATATTATTCATTTTAAAGAGTTGTGTTTTTCATACTTTTAACTTTTAGGTCTAGGGAGATAGAGATCTATCTCTTGAACCCTTTTTGTTTCTTTTCAATATCGATTTCTATTAAGTATTTCAATACAATGTTTTTGCTTTCTTTAATCATGTCTGAGTAATTTACTTGTTGGGTTTAAAGGAATTTTTGATGGGGATTATATATGTTCAATGAGGATTCGATTAGATACTAAAGCTGAATCCTAGAACTTTTTCTTCTAAACTTATTTTTAATGCATGACAGTAGTGTCATGAACTATAATCTGATTTAGGTTTGTAGTGTTGCGAAAGTTTTCATTAGGGGCCAGATCTAGTTAGAGAAGAGAAATTATGCCATATGAGTGGAAAACTACCTATGGGTGAGTTGTGAATGTAGATGAGTCTAGTGCAAGATTGCGTACACTCGCTTCCGGGGTCAGGGTGGAAACTTACTGGTCAGGGTCGTTGGTGATAGTTGGTTGCAATCACGACAATGATATAGTCATACCTTCGAGTTGTAGTTCTTAAATAGCCATGATCTTTTAAATTAATTTATAGCAATGTTTTGAATCGTTCATACCCCGGAGATAATTTCTCTGAAAACCCAGCAACTCATTTTATAAGTTAACATCAATTAATATTCAAGCTTTTTACATTAAGTTTTCTTTATATTTCCAGCTGATTTTCTTAAGTCTTTAGATTGGGTCATTTTTAGTTTTAATAATTTCTTCCTTTTCCCGTTTAGTTTAGGATTTACGTTTTAGTGACACCCCAAAAATATTTTTCACTACAAGAAAGTATACGATTAGCAACGATTTTTTACGACGATTAAGAATCGTCGCAAATTCCCTTCGAATTAACAACAAAGCACGACGATTCTTATAACCGTCGCCAAATCGTCAGTAATTGGCGACGAAAAGAATTCGACGTTACATTGTCGTGCAGTAACGACGATCTGGCGACGATTATAAGAATCTCGTTAAATCGTCGTAACTTAGGGACGATTTAACGACGAATAAACCCGATTCTCATTTTCGTTGTTAATTCGTCGCTAAACTACATTTCGTCGTTAATTCGTTGTTAAATAACGTTGTTAATTCGATGGTAAGCAGAATAAAAATCTATATATAGGGCCTCCCATAACCCAAAAAAAATCACAATGCTCCTAAATAAGAGTGATTGAATTGATCACTTAATTGGGAACAAGTATAAAATTTCAAAATATTCACTTGGTAGTGAATATTAAATATATATACGAAATGTCGTCCATATATGAAATTCGGAAATGGATGTACAATCGTATTGATTCAACGGGATCGTTGACAAAAGAATTCAGTGAGGGGGTTGAGGGATTCATGCATGAGGCGGGAAAACTTTAGAGGAGTCTCAAAGCGCATATCACCAGGAAGTTAAGGAGGAGCTTTTGGAGTATGACTCCATCTTCGATATCATTGCCCTCTCAATCCCAGATGTTGCAAATGCCTTGCGAGCAAAACGTCAAAAACGTGCAGCGGAAAAGGAGGCAAGATTGGCGGCACGGAGAGTGGCGACACAAGCTGCGGGTACTCAAGGAGCATCTACAAGTGGTGGAGCGACACAAGCTGCGGGTACTCAAGGAGCATCTACAAGTGGTGGAGAAGATCAATCACATGCTCCGGTTACTAATCTTGCGGACGATTTTGGAGATTTCGAAATTGATTATGATGCTTAAATATGATTTCTTTTTGTTGTAATAAAAATATTAGAGACGTCCCGAGTGCTTCGTCCCGAGTGCTTTGTCATCCGCACCACGCCGCTGAGGACCAGAAGATGATCCAGTCGTTCTACGGGCCAAGACTGCACCTTTAGAGGAGTCTCAAAGCGCAAATCACCAGGAAGTTCAGGAGGAGCTTTTGGAGTATGACTCCATCTTCGATATCATTGCCCTCTCAATCCCAGATGTTGCAAATGCCTTGCGAGCAAAACGTCAAAAACGTGCAGCGGAAAAGGAGGCAAGATTGGCGGCACGGAGAGTGGCGACACAAGCTGCGGGTACTCAAGGAGCATCTACAAGTGGTGGAGCGACACAAGCTGCGGGTACTCAATTAGCATCTACAAGTGGTGGAGAAGATCAATCACATGCTCCGGTTACTAATCTTGTGGACGATTTTGGAGATTTCGAAATTGATTATGATGCTTAAATATGATTTCTTTTTGTTGTAATAAAAATATTTTGTTTTGTTTTTAATTAAAATAATTTTATTTTCATATTTATTTTTAAATTAATTTATTTAATTTTTAATTATTATTTTAAAAAAATTTGGGTTTAAAAAATAAATAAACATTCGTCCTTAAATCGTTGTAAATTACGACGAATTCGGGACGAAATGTATACACGAATTAGGGACGAATCTAGAGTAACGACGACTTAAGGATGATTCTTCTGCCACGAATTTGCAACGAATTGCCGACGAAAGCTTTTCGTCGTTCAATCGTCGTTACATTTACAACGAAGTTACGACGAATGCTTCCCGACGATTTAACGACGATTATTTGTTTCTCGCTAATTAAAGACGATTTTACGACGAATTACCAGTTACGACGATCAATATACGACGAACTGGCATTCGTTGTTAAATCGTCGCAAACCTCATTTCACAACGATTTAACGACGAATATGGTCGTTGTGAAATGGGTGATTTCTTGTAGTGTTTAAAATATTGATTAGGTCTAGACTTCCTTGCTTTAATTTCTTTCAAAGATTTTTGCAGAAAAGATCCTCCTTCCCTATGGATTCGATCCCTAAGTACTACAATCGATTAGTTGTGCATTTCAATTAGGGTAAAACTTTTTCCCGCACTCATACCACATCAGGTTTCGTCCTCTATCGGCTGAGAGCATGAGTTCTCCCCAAATCCCTATATAGAGCCTTGTCAATGTAAAGGGTGAAGTCTTTGAGTGAAAGATGAACGGCGGTAAAGCTATTTGAAGAATTAAAATTCTGGCCAGTGATACTTACGAGATCTAAAACAGAGGAGTAAGTAAAAGGAAGTGAAGGAGCAGAGGTGTTAAGGTGGAACCTTCACATGGCGCCGGAGATTTGTTGGTGATTGGTGGGGAGATCACCACCGGTAAGAAGAACGCTGCTGACGGAGTTTTCGATGGTGATGCAGCATTTCCTCTGCCGTATTTCCATGTGCCCTTGTTTTTTTTTTAACAACACATGTATTTGACATGTATCGTGTTTTATTTCATGTTGATCTTGTTATTCGCCCTTGGGATTCCAGACATGGAATATTGACAAAAAAACCCTCCTAGCCAATACATCTGCAGCAAAATTTCTCTCTCGGTTGGTATGGTCCAAAGAACATTCTGGAAGCTTACCCATCCAATGTTTGATATCAATTAACAAGATCCCAATTTCATTATTGTCCTCTTGTTGGTTAATCATCTTTGTCAACTCCAACTTGTCTCTTTCAAACCAGATAATCTCTCCATCCTTTCATCCATACGATGTGAAAAGCTTGTAAAAAAACCCATTGCTTCATCTTGGAAAGAAGAAGACGTGGCTGCTACTGGTATACATCCCAACAAATGTATGCCTCAGTATGACCTCGAATGATCCAGCCAATACCTGAAATTTCTGAATCGCTTCTCCAGTTACTATCGAAATTGAATTTCAGCCATCCAAATGGAGGAGGTTCCGAGTGACTATTCCGATTTAAGATCCTAGATCTTATATCCGCTATATATATGCTTTATAAACTTGTTTATTGATAAAAAAAATTAGCAAATGAATATATGTTTTTAAGAAAATTCAAAAAATCTTGACCATAACAAAACAAAAAATTCTAAAATTCTAAAAACTAAAATTCTGATGCCATCGTCTTGTTACTTCATCTTCTGTCTCTGGCTGGTATCTTGGTTGGATTGTGGTATCAGATGCTGAACGGGTTGTGTCAAGATTCCTTTTAGGTTTCTGTTCTGTTAGCGTGTGCGAAAAAACATGAATGGATTGTAGTTTATTGGGAATTTTTTGTTACAACTTAAGTTTTGTGGTTCTTTTTTTTACTTCATTTTTTTTCTGAACCTTTTTTCTCAAGAAAAATGATAATTCTGTTTTTAGAAAAGATTAATTTCTTGCAAAAAAGAAAATTGTAAGAGAACCATTTAACTCACTTATATAATTCCGACCAATAATCAATTATGAAACTATGTAAAACTATAGATAAATTTTAAAATACCCTATTATTTTAGACATTATTTTAAAGAACCATATTATAAAATAGAATTTTGGATTTATGACCTCGAAAAGCTGTCAAAAGTAATGATATTTTTAAAAAATAATCAAATATCATTTATTGGTTAAAAAAATGTTTCAAAAGTATCCAAAAATATATTTACCATTCTCTAGAAACAATCCCAAAAATAGGAAATAAATAAAAACTATTAAATATTATCCAGTATTAAAAAGAAAATATACTATGCATAAAAATGACAGAAATGAGCAACAAGCCTTTGTTAATATAAACATGGCACAAAGGAATGAGAGGCAGGCTCAACAGAATCAGCAGCAGGCTCATAGGAATGAGCAACAGGCTCAATTCATTCCTCAGCATCAACCTTCAAAGGAGACCAGATCATTCACCTGTGTTTGTGGGAGAAAATGACAGGGCCAATGCTCATCAGTATGGAGCAGGGATTCAAGCACCACAGGTGTAGAACAACAATTTTGAAGTGAAAGCATCTTTACTGAACATTGTCCAAAACTCCAAGTTCCATGGATTGCCAATGAAAGATCCTTTGGAACACTTGGACCACTTTGATAAAGTTTGTGACTTGACAAAGATAAATGGAGTATCTGAGGACAGCTTCAAGCTCAGATTATTCCCCTTCAGTCTTGGTGACAAAGCACACCAATTGGAGAAGAATCTTCCAAGAGGCTCCATTCAAACTTGGGAGCAATGCAAGCAGGCATTTCTGTCTAAGTTCTTCTCAACCTCCAGAACAGAAAAACTGAGAAACCAAATCTCCAGCTTCACTCAACACAGCAATGACAGTTTTGGTGAAGCATTGGAGAGATTCAGGAGCTACACAAACCAGGGCCTACACTATAGGTTTAGTGAGGCTTCTCTTTTCAGCACATTTTATAGAGGGGCTCTTCCCAAGATCAGCAATCAGCTGGATACTGCATCAAATAGAAACTTTCTGGGAAAGGAGATTCATGCTGCTTTAGAGCTGGTAGAGAACTTAGCAATGAGCAATGACACTTATATAATTTCAACCAATAATCACTTATGGAACTATGTAAAACCATATATAACTTATTTCAAAATATCATATTATTTTAGACATTATTTTAAAGAACCATATTATAAAATAGAATGTTAAATTTAAGGCCTTGAAAAGCTGTAAAAAGTAATGATATTTAAAACAAAAGAAAAAAATAATCAAATACCATTTATTGGTTTAAAAATATTTCAAAAGTACCCAAAAATATATCTACCATTCTCCATAAACAATCCCAAAAATAGAAAATAAATAAAATTATAAAATATTATCCAGTATAAAAAGAAAGTACACCATACATAGAAAATAAAGTATGTCATATAGACATTGCATTGCATATAATTAATAAAAGTGAGTGGTGAATTCTTATTGAACACATTTATTAGAAGAAAGATAGGTGTCCAGTTACAGTTAGCCATATATAGTAAACATGATTTGCTAAATTTAAAGAGTCAACTTAGCATACATAAGATTTTATTTCTGAATACACCAAACCACATTAACATATAAGGTTATTTTCTTTTACATTGTTAGAATTCAATGTCAATAGTCAATAAAATTCTAAATGAATTTTTTCGGGGCTGAAATTATAAACATCACATATAAATATAACTCGAACTCCATAACAACTGTTCATATATATATATATATATATATATATTTGTTACCATTAATTGAAAACTATCAAAAAACATCTGATTAATATGTGGTTAAAAAGATAACAAAATCTTGCATTCCTTATCTTATAAGTTAAACATTTTTTTAATATGTGTATAAAACGATTACGAGATTAGATGACGATTACGAGATATTCCAATAATTTATCACCACCTTTCATTTTCTTCAAACTTTCTGCATACGCTTTTTTCTCTAATATCCTCTGTAGATCTCAAACCAATTATGTCACTCTCCACCATTGAACAACTACATGATTTCCATTCTCAAGACAGAGAGGTATTCGCTAAACTGGTTTTAAAATTCTCAAGAGCCACAGCTGAGTCCCTTCTTGTCATGGCCACATGGTTTTGGCTTGAAAACTTTGGCTTTGAACATATCTTCTCAGTCATCATGTCTCTCAGCGATCCTTTAATTCTATCTCTTGCTGACGAGGCTGTCTCGTGCTTCCGGTGCCTTGAGTTTAACGAACCACCAAATGGCTTTAAACAGATCCCTCTCACTGCAAGTTTCATGGAAAAAGATATATCTCTTCAAATAATCTACAAATATCGATACAGTGCCATCATAGGAATCAAAAATTTCTTAAGCACTGTTTGTTCTAGAATTTTCTCCGATATAATTCAAAGAGCTCTTCTGTATCCTTTATCATCCTCCAACTTCAGCAGACTCTGCAGCCCTCTCAACATCCCTGGCTTCCCTCATCCAACTTTTGGGAACATCGTCGTGATGCCTCATGTTGTTTGCGGGAATAATATCCCCCCCAACAACCCATTCCTGATCCCTAGTGATCTTTGGGGTTGGCATACTACATGCATCGCAACTGAGAATGATCGAACCATATTTCTAACGTTTTCTCGTGGGTTTCCAGTGTCAGAAGCGGAAGTGAAGAAACTCTTCACCCAAAAATATGGAGAAGGTTGCGTTGTAGGCGTTTTCATGCCAGATGTTAGTGGAAACTCCTTCAACAAAAATGGTCAGCAACAATCACTATATGCAAGGCTCATTCTGGACTCGGTCGTTACCGTGGATCGCATACTCAAAGGCAACAGTCTCAACAAGTTTGATTGGTCTGGAAAACATATTTGGGCTCGTAAGTACGAAGAGAGGCGTAAAAGGTTTTGATGTCAAAAATCTTATGTTGTAGTCAAATAATTTTGTGACACCCCAATCTGGGTGGATTATTTCACTTTGACAAAGTGGAAAATAAATTTTCGTAAAATTTTTATTAAATTAGTGGAGTTTCATTAAAAACAAAAGGAAGAATGGCATGATGTATTAATAGAATCTGAACCCGAAATAATTTATAAATGATTATATAAAAATCTACGGTCAAAAGAGATTAAATGTAGAATTTTTTAGTCAACAATGCAAGACCAAAGACTCATTCGAAGCAGAGAGTTAAAGGAATATTAATCATGACAGATCCAACAAAGTTAATGACAACATTAAGATGATGTTATTTCTATTTCATCATGAATTTGGCGGTTTATTCACACCAATTAATAGCTGAGAATGAGCCATTAAAGGAGAAAAAGACGTTACACAATGGGGAGCTCAAACAAAGGAAGAAGTGAAGAACAGTATAAAAAGGGAAAGAAGCCATCATTGGAAGAGGGCTCCTCCAAGAGAGAGACACACTACTACTAAATACTTTATATTTGCAGCTTGGGTTCTGTAGGAGAAGTGAAGTCTTTTCCCGAACAAATATCTTTCTTTTGGAAGAAGAACCATTGTACTTAATCAAACTACGTAATAAGCTTGAAACAGAAAACAAACTAAATTTAATTTTTTCCAAGAAAAAAATGCTGATTGTTCCCGGGTGTCTTGTGTCTTGATATTTCTTTGGGTGAATGCATTGTTTCCTCCTAAGGTTGATGGTGCACTGTTACGTCGAAAACTTACTATGGGCTCAAGTCTCATTGGATTCGTTGATACGGTGAAAAATATAACGAGTTTTCTCCTAATAAAACTGCAAGCGCACAACAATCACAATAGTATATAAAGAGTATCAAATTCACAAGGACTAGTGTGCTTAGGATCTCGATCTAACATAATTTTGTAACTAAAATAATCCAGTTCAAAAGATTTTCAGAATTTTGAAGCAAAGAAAATAAAAAAGCAAATCAGAAAATAAATGATGTACACTTCATGATTAAAATGGCTGGACAGCCGAGAATTCTCTGAGGTTCATGGATCAAATCAAACAAGCATTAGTTTGGATTTATAGCGACTTAG